CCCAGCTGACCATTCACTGGATATGAAGAAAACTGAGTCTGAGAAATTAACCTGGCCCAAACCTCCCATTTTGGAGATGAAGAAACTGAAGCTCTGAAAGTTAAGACTTGCCCAGAATGACACCATGACTTTGTGCCTGTGTTCAGGTCACTGGAACTTGGGTTATCACCTTTCCAGTCAGAAACACTTTCTCCCACAGCCACAAGTCTCTTTAACAGTCTTGATTCGGTAAAGGGCATTTGCACATGTGTTTCCGTGTTTTAAGGAGCCCTGTTGGTGCAATGGTTAACTACTGTGTTAACAAAACCATCAGTAGTTCAAACCCACCAGAGGCTATGCTGGAGAAAAGACCTGGCAATCCGCTCTTGTAAAGACTATTGTTGTTGTTGTTAGGTGCAGAATGAAACACTTGCCCAGTCGTGTGCCGTCCTTACAACTCTGGCTACCCTTGAGCCCACTGCCACAGCCACTGTGTCAATCCATCTTGTTGAGGGTCATCCCCTTTTTCGCTGACCCTCCACTTTACCAAGCATAATATCCTTCTCCAGGGAATGGTCCCTTCTGACAACATGACCAAAGTAGGTGAGACGAAGTCTGACCTATAAAGATTACAGCCTAGGAAACCCTTTGGAGCAGTTCTACTCTTTCCTATACTGTTGCTATAAGTTGAAGTTGACTTGATGGCACACAACAACCACTGTCCCAAGCTCCAACTTCCACTCCTTGTAATCTTCAAAGTATTTTCTATCTAAAAGATAGAAAAACATATTGTTGAATCAAATTCCATGGCACACCAGCCCCTTACCATAACCATGGATTGAAGCAACTGAATTAAATTGTTTTGATTCATCCAAAATTCTCTTATGGAAAAGGGAATGAATATTAAGCTGAGAAACAGCAATTATGGTAAGTCCCCAGGGTCAGAAGCATCCAACTCCAGAACAAAGTTATGTAAATTTGTCTTCAATTTGAAACAATTGAACCAACGCCTGTTTGCGACAAGCTCTTCATGACAAACACCTTCACTTGCTACCTGTGCAGTTTTTAAATCATGGAAAATCTTGCAGCCTTTCCTTGCACTAGAATAAGGCTAAACAAGAACCACATGAACTTGTTCTGCCCTTACCTACAAATTTGACTTAAAAATACACTTAGGAGCTGATCTCATTGTAACCCAGGGACTGCCTGTATTTGAAAAGCTTGATAATGCACTGCATTTGTCTTGGCATAACTAAGAGTTCTGTATAGAAAGTTTGGAAGAAATGGCATCAAAATAAATATATATTAAATTGAACCTGAGTGAGATCTGAAAACTAACTACTCCTAACTATTTTGTTTTTTCTAGAGTGTGCTGTTCCTGCCTCTGAGTTCCAAGAACACAACCAATTTGACTCATGACCCTGGATATGAAGAATTATTGACTTCTTAGAAAAAAAGGAAATATATTCTCCAGAAAATTGATCTTTATGACAATATATGAAATCCAACGATTGCAAGAAAGTAAAATTTGAGTTAGCTAAAATGTGGACATTTTTTTTATATAATGAACATTAAAAAAAAAAAAAAAAATCTTGTTTTCCTGTCATTGAGTATACAAGTTCAATAGGGGTCTTTTGATTTCTGTGAAGTTGGCTTGACCGAAATATCTGAACTGTAAATGCCTATTTACTAGACTGGCCAAGTAGGAGCCCTGATTGCACAATGGTTACGTGCTTCACCACTAACCTAAAGGTTGGTGGTTTAAACTCAGCCAGCAAGTCTATGGGAGCAAGACCTGGTGATGTGGCAGGCTGTGCAGGGCCTGGGAAATGATTGCATCTAGGAGCAGCAGGGAGAGGTTAACATAGACTGAGGGAGGGCTCGTGTAGGTACTGGCATGTGCCTAAGGACCTCGGGCTCCGAGGTGTAAGGAACGGGAGCTAGTTAGTGAACATTCTGACCTGGGTGGTAATGTAATCAGATGTGTGCTGAGGAGGGTAATTGTTGACAGTCTTTAGTAAGGACTGGATTAGGGGAGAAATCAGGAGAAGAGTTAGGATCAACTGGGAGAGTGTTATAAAGGCCATGGTCCTATAATGAAGTCATCTTCTCTGTTAAGGATCACCAGGTGTCCAATCCCCAAAATGTGGAGATTAACCCAACCTCCACTTTCCCAACTCTCCATCATCTCTGACTCCCCCTTCCCCCTCCCCTTTCTCTGATGGGTTTGAATATTCACTGTAATATCTCACAGAGCTCACGGACTATGCTTATGGTTATGTGGTTTCGCAGTGCAATGAATTACTTGGTATGACTATTCTAGCCACAAATTTTGGATTACTGAATTACTGGGTGGGACCATGCAAATAAGGTATGTAGAACTCTGATGTTGGGTTTGCTTAGTTTTGTCACTCTTCCAGGCTTCAAATGACCCTTCCCAGAGGCAGAGCGGGGAAGCTCCCTGCCATCAAGAGAGAAGAGCTGGAGGTGAAGTAGAGCACACCCTTGGACCTGAGA